GTTGGATCGCTCAATGTGGCGCCTCGTGGCGCGACTCGCCACCAGCGGCTCGCGAGAATGGCCAGCGCAAGTTGTACGGTGGCGTCCGGACGGCATCAGACGCCGAGGGCGGCCATGTCGAAGATGGACAGATGCCGTCGATTCACTTCTGCGACAAGAGCACGGCACGAATTTAATGAATGTGATTCGCAGCCAGGAGCCTTTCCCTTGGCAGCGGATGGAGAGGCATTTTCTAGATTTCATGAAGAGCGACTGATGTATACTACTATGTATAATTTATTGTTGCCCTGTCCACTACGTTTCTCTTGCATGCGCGTTTTGTTGCCGTAGTGTCTCACGCCCTCCGGCTCCGCTTGCGGAGCGAGGTGCCTCCATAGGCCCCTGGACCGGACTTGACTTGACTTGACTTGGACAGGTTGGCTGCGCCCTTTGACGTCCGTTTGGGCTGTGCTGCAGACCTGACCCCCCAGCCCTACTCAACGCAAGAGTGACCTTCCGCCGGAGTGACCTCTCGAGTAGGAGAGCGACTACAGGATTGCTTCACCCTAAACATTCAAAACAGGAATAAGGAAGCAACCGCACATCTACCCTTCGCCTGTTTTCCCCTTTTTGGGGCCTCCTGGGGGGCCCTCGTCGCCGCAGCTGGATTCGCTTCGAAATCCTGTTCAGGACGCATTCCCAGGTCTTGGGAGTAACGGTATCCGCACTTGTTGATTTACCCCCCAATCAGTTTTGTTGCCGAATCTACGAAAGAAAAATTAGAATGCTCGTAGGCCTGCGAGCATTCTGCGTATTTTGTAGGTGCGACTGGGCAAATTCAAGTTGGGGGTCAATTAGTTCTGTAGTCGATCTCCTACTCGCACCTCCGGTGCGGGCACACCGGGCTCATCTGGGCCTCCTGGATGGGGTCCGAGCAGACGGGATCGGACAACGGCGCCGCATCGCCGACGCATCGAGGATGCGGCTCGGCGTGGCGCCCGGCTTTCCCCACTCCGACGTCGCGGATGCATCGGCGGTGCGGCGCGATCCTTCGGCCCCGTCCATTCGGACCCCATCCAAGAGGCCTCTGGGTCCCCAGGTGCCTGTCGGTCGTCGACAGTAGGTATTTTTGGATCCCCAGATCCCTATCTGCTTCAGGCGCCTTCCTACTTCAACGATCGAGTGCCTTTCCTTCCTCCTTCCTTCCTCTTTAGGGGGTGGGCGGACGCCCAATCTTATGTCACCGCCTTTCTACTCCATGTTTCTACCCACTTCTTCCGACCCACGGGTTTGAGTGACAGTTCGCCAGAGTGACTTTTGGTGCGGGCACACGGGGGGTCCCCGGATGACTGAACGCGATGCGATGGCAGCGTCTTGCGCGCTCGGGTCTGGCCTCCCCGCGGCCTCCGAAAGAGGTGCACCAGAGGTCACTCTTGCCCAGGGTCACTCTTGCGTGTGGCTGGCCCGCGCGCAGGGGCCTGGTCAGCGGGAGGTCCTCCGAGGAGGCCGCGCCCCCGAAGGCCCCCCGCGCCCGCGCGGATGTGCTCCCGTGGCGCCCTCGCGTCATGACAGCACCACGGCGGGAGGTGTTCGTCTGTGTTCGGCCGCGGGGGGCCCCTGCCCGGCCTCGGGACAGTCAAAGCGTGGCGCAGGAGGAGGAACAGGGCCCGGGGAGGCAGAGTTCGGTCGCGACCAGAGGGGAATCGGACTGCGGTCCGCGTAAGGGTCGACGCGAGGGTTTCGAAGCCGTCGACGGCTCGCTCGTTGCCAGAATTCTCGACCAGAAGCTGAGTTGCTGTCGCGGTTACGGGGCATGTTCGGTAACCGATGATCCGGGTAGTGGATGCATCGACCTCTAATCGCCCAGTAATCGCCGATAGTGGCCCGATAGCCCACCCCGCCTGCGACCGCGCGGATTCGCTGTCGGGGCCTATCGCCGATCAATCGGCGGTGTATCGCCGATTCCAGCTCTGTGTCCCCTCCCCCCCTAAGCCAGCCCCCCTGACGTTCCCCCTCATTTGTTTCTCCAAGGGGCTCGTACTCGAGTAGATGGACAATATATTCGAACCCTTACACATTCGAGGGATATTCTAAATCACCCCCGCGCCCCCGACATCAATGTTGATCTCAGTGAAGGCGGTGCTTTGGGGTTCGAATGTTTCTGTCCACTCCCGCCCCCCCCCCCGTCGCCACGCCATCAATATTAATTTCGGGGGTCTGGGGGGCATCTTGGGCCACAGGGTTCGAATATAATGTCCATGTACGGTCTCGCTGATCTTGCAGGCTTTCCCTCGAGCGTCGTGCCCGAACGCGCACCAGTTCACGGGGGCGTCGTGCTATGCCCGAAGCCGGGGGCACCGGCTATATTCTGTTCTGCCAGATGTGATGCGTGTACGTGGCAGTCTGCGTTTCCGAAGCGGAGAGATGGTAATCAGCCGTGCGTCAGACAATGGCACGGGAAACCACTCTAGGGTTGGTCAGGCACGCCTAAGACGCTAGAGTCCTGAGTTCCAGTTATTGGCGCAGATGAGGAAGGGGAGTGCAAGTGGTGTAGAGGAGGCAGAAGAAAAAGGAGGAGGAGGAGCTGGAGAAGTTTTTGGCGCATATGTCGCAAACGGAGTAGCAGGAGTAGAAGGAGGAGGACGTGGACAAGGAATCACATCATAATTATGATAAGTATTAAGAGGAACTGGATCTAGGGCAGGAGGGGGAGGAGGAGGAACAGGAAGAGTGTGAGGAAGCTGCCGAGCATGTCGAGGAGGAGAAGTCCGATGAGGGGGAAAGGACAGACGAAGAATACTATGAGGAGGAAGAGGGGGTGAGGATGATGGGGAAAAATGATGGTGACGATGAGGCAATGTGCGGTGGATGATGAGGAGCATAGGAGCAGTAGGATGATTGGATTATAATGGCGATAAGCAGGGATGGGGAAGGAGGCGGAGGGGTTGGAGGAGGAGAAGGAGAAGGATGAGGAGGCAGACAATGTGCATGATGATCGGTACGTTTGATGATGGTGATGAGGATGATGGTGATGATGATAGTGGTGGTGATGTACCGTTCGAAGTGCGGCACATGATGATGGCGACACGCTGAGTCGTTCTCTGGTTGGGAGGTGTTTGTCCCTTAGCACTAGTGTTCGAAACATGGAACAGGCTTCACGGAGGAGACTCGTGCAAATTGTGCATCAGCGTAGGTTCCTGTCCTCGCTCGGATTGTAAATCTTGGCGCCGACTGTGTTCTGCATGTTGCTGAGGTGAGCCGCGCAACGACAGCAGCGGGGGCGGGAAGAGGGGGCACACAAGAAAGGCACGAGCGCCGCTCGGATCCTGAAACACTTAGAGGCTGGGGGGGGGGCGCAGTCCTCGAGCTGACGATCACGTCTTGTGAGCTCGCTCTGGGACCGTGCGTCGCGCTCCCGCTCTGCCCCCCGCGAGCTCGGGCCGCCCTGCCGACTGGCCGACTCCGTGACACGATATTCGAGGCGACGCCGGCAGCAAACCCTGCCCAGTGTTCGGCGGCGCGCTTGGGGGGGCAGTGGGAAGGGGCAGGCCTTCTCAGAGGGCGGCAGGGCTTCTCAGAAGCCCTCTGGCCTTCCGAGAAGCTTTCGGTGCCTCCGGGGAAGGCTTCGAAGAGTTCTCAGAAGGCCCGAGGCCCTCCGAGCCTTCTGGCGCAAGGCCCGCCTCTCCTCGGTGCCCCCCCCCGGGTTCGCCGCCGAAGATTGGACAGGCACTGCTGTGGGTCTCCGTGCCCGCGGCGCTGGATGGCGAGACATCGAGGCTCGAGGAGAGGCGGGGCAGTCGAGGCGCCCGCCTGCGGCAGCTCCTGCTGCCCGGGGCCTCACGCGGCACGCCGTCGACGGCGCCGCTCTGCTCTGGTGGCCACCTCGGCTTCAGGCGCCGTGCCCAGCGCCCGGGGCCGGAGGCCAGCCGCGCCGGCGGCGCCGCCCGGCGGCGCCGCACATGGTGTCGGGGCCCCGGGAGCCAGGACTTCTGCAAGCCAGCGCTCTTCGAGCAGGGGATCGGCTACAGGGTCGATGTGCCCCGGAACTGATTTTCCCCTCGGGTCCGCGAGCAGTGCGTAGTTTTTTCCAGACTCGGAGGGGGGACGCCAACTCCGGGGGAAGGCCATTCTGCAGGCCATCCCCTGCTCGAGCTCTGCACTGTTGCCCCCGGCCTCGGATGACTTGAAATGATTCGATGGTATCCGCCGGCGTATTTTCTCATCTTCGGGCACCGGGACCATCCATGATGGATCTGGGACGAAAAATTGCCCCCGGGGACGGGGTCGGGAGGTCTGGGGGCTTGGAGTGGAAAACATTGCTACAGCCAACCCGCATAGTAAGGACGGGCAGCCTTCCCAGGGGTATCCTTGCATCCTTGCCTCCTCGGTCCATCCCTGGCCGCTTTTGTTGGCCGCGCCCCGCTCGCAAAGTGTCAGCATGGCCTTCCAAGGCCCTCGCATCCCCACCGAGCAGCCTTCTGATACAGGTGGACGGTATCGGCGGATGTCTGGGGCTCGAGTGGACGAGGCGTGGAGAACGGTTCGATCAGGAGGGACAAAAAACACACAGACACAATTAATCGTCGATTCACAAGAAAATATGGGAAAATATGGCAAGTGGGGGGGAAGACAAAAACCCAGAAAATATTGGGAAAATGTTGGGAATATTTTTATTTGTGTGTATTTATTTGTGTGTCCTGGGGCCCCTTCATTCGAGTCCCACAGCTGCAGCTTCCACTGGGTGCGCCAGCGCCCTGCTTCTTCTCCAAGACGTCCCGTTTCTGAGGCCCTGGCTCCTTCATACCTAGGCCTCCTGCAGATGGGATCCGCGTAGATGCGGTCAGAGCACCGCGCCGTATCGCTCGATGTGGAGCCCGATGTCCTCCACGCCGTACGCCGCCGATGCACCGCCGACGAATCGCCGATGGATCGCCGATGCCTCGGCGCTGCATCGGCGGTGCGGCGAGGTCCTCCGAAACCCCGCCTCCTCCGACCCCATCTGGGAGGCCTCGCCTGCAGCAATGGACGGCTCACCGGCGAACCCGAGGCTCCGGAGGTCCGGCGGCACCCCGGCGCCCGCGCCGGTGGCGCCGCCGGGCGGCGGCTCGCCGCAGGGCCGCACGCCCGCCAGGCGCCCGGAGACGTACGAGCTGAGCCCCAGGCCATGGCGGCGTGCCGCCGCCGCGTGCAGGGGCGCCCTGGAGCTGCCCTTCTGGCCGCCACGGGGGGCGCAGGCCCAGACATCCGGCGCCCCGAGCATAACATCGGGGCGCGGGGGTTTCTCCTCGGCTTGTCGGTGCACCGATCGCGGCCCGTCCCCCGGGCCCCGCGGGGCCGGCAGGAGGCGACCCGGGCTGAAAGACCGGTCCCGGGGAGGCGGTCGAGAGATGTCGAGAGGTCGGGGGCCCGTGACTCGAACAAGAGGTCGGGACGCCGGATGTCTATGCGGGGTCGAAGAAAGCACCACAGATCGTAAGCGTTCGGAGGTCCCCGCGGGTTCCCCGGGTCGGCGTCAGCCTCCTCCTCGGCGGCGCCTCCAGTCCCGCCCCTGGCGCGCTCCGTGCGCCAGGGGAGCAGGGTGCAGCGCCGACCTGGGGAGCACCGCGCGGACTTCCGGAAGTTTGCGTGTATGCCGCCCCTGCTCCTGGATGCAGGGGCTGAGGGCAGCGAGGGGGTCTGGAGAGGTGTGTTCGCCATTCTCGGCGCCCTTTGAGGCTCCGGGGCCGTCAGAAGTCGACATGGGACGAGAGAGCGGCTAGGGTGAGCCACGGACGGGGTCTTGATATAGATTTTTGGACGGACGTTTAGGTCCCTGTGGGGACGCTGAGTGGCGGCTCGAGCGAAGACCCAGCTCGTCGCTCTCGCCTTGCGCTTCCAGGTCAGTCCAGGGGTCTCCTCCGTCGACGATGCACCCTCCTCTTTCTCCAGCCCCTGCTCCCCTGAGATACGGGTGTTGCGACACAACGCCCCAATTTCGTGCGTCGGGGCTCTCGCGGGAGATGCCACAGAGAAAGATTGGATCGATGGTTCTGGCCCATTGGTGATCATTTGACAGTCAGGACTGGTTTTCTCCCATGCCGTCAGCTCTGGCAGAGTCGTCCTTCTCGTGCGCCTATGGTGCCTGCCAGGTCTCTGGTCCCCCTCTCCCCTCCTCCGTTCCTCCCTCTCTTCTCTCCTCACCTCCTCGTCCACATCCCTCCGCACCTTTCCCCCTAATTAGTCGCGTCCTCCCCGATCTCACTTCCCCAGTGGAGAAGTATGACGGTGGCACCCTTATTTGTCAGGAAGGATAGTTAGTTCTGACTGTGCGCCCTGCTGATTTCAGCGGCACCGAGGAACTATAATTTTTTGGGGGGGCAGGGCCCAAGGCTGAGAGGGGGCCCAACACGCCGCTGACAACATGAAGGGGCGCCCAGCAAGAACTGCTTTCCATGCGGGGGGAGGGGCAGCATCATCCGTCATACTGGTCCACCGACGAAAGGAGGAGGACCGGCAAGTGGGGGAGGAAGCGAAGAGCGGCAAATAGGGGGATGGGTCGGGCTCCAACTTCGGTGGGGCAGCGCGACTCCTCTCATGGCAGTCGCACGCTTGGCCCGTCCATCTCTGGGCCCCTCTCTGCATTATCATTGGGCGAGGATGCCTTCCCATCGTACGCCGGTGTGTAATCACCCGTTGGGCTGCCTATCTTTCCCCCCTCCTGGTTTCTGAAATGAAGGTGGGGCATCAACTGCGTCCGCGCGTGATCGCGCCGTCAGCTCAAAAACCGTGTGTGGGTGTGTGTGGTCGCGCGCTTTCCCCGCTGCTCCGACATACTCCGCCTCGTCGCCGCGCGCGAGGCCGCGACCGCCAAAAAGTGTGTTTGTGTGTATGAGGTTGTGAAAATGTGTGTGTGTGTGTGTGTGTGTGTGTGTGTGTGTGTGTGTGTGTGTGTGTGTGTGTGTGTGTGTGTGTGTGTGTGTGTGTGTGTGTGCGGGTGTGGTGGTGTGGTGGTGTGTGTGTGCGTGTGTGTGTGTGTGTGTGTGTGTGTGTGCGTGTGTGCATTGTGTGTGCATTGTGTGTGTGCGTGTGTGTGTGTGTGTGTGTGTGTGTGTGTGTGTGTCTGTGTCTGTGTGTGTGTGTGTGTGTGTGTGTGTGTGCGCGCGGCACCGCCTGCAGCGTGCAGAGGGTCGGAGCAATCGGCTACTGCATGCTTGACGTGGGAGCCGCAACGAATGCAACCCCATGCTTCGCGCAGAGGCAGGGACCCCCTTCGGACCCCGCGAGAGAGGAGCCGCTTCGGACCTCCCCCGGGCCCGACGCGCCAGTCCTGGAGGCCAGCACGCCACGAGACCAACGCGGGCCTCGCCCGACAGCGGAGGACGTTTCTCGGCCCCCGCGCCCCGAGCCACGGCACAGGTCTCCCCAGGGGCGCCAGAGCCAGGACCGCACCCCCCACAGCCCCCCCGAGGGACGCGAGCGACGCCCGCGCGATCGAAAGCCCAAAGGAGCAGCCCGAGGGCCCCCCCCGAGGTCCCCAGCAGGGACCCCCAAGGCCCGGGCGCCGGGCGCAAGCCCCGTGCGGGGTGCAGACGGCGCGAGGCGCATCGGCCACCGTTCCCGTTCCGACGTCATGCAGAGCAGAGCTCACCTCCACTCCAGGAAGCAGGCGAGCCCACCCGCCTCACTCAAATCGACGCCTCTGCGCTCGGTTTTTCCCACGCTCCCGATGCGCGAGGCTGCCGCATCACCTCGCGCGCGCCCTCCCTGCAGCTCGAGGCTGCCACCCGCGGACACGAGGCTCAGGTGCTCCTCTGTCCAGCTCGTGATCCCCTCGAGGCCTGGGCATTGACGTTCAGTCGGAGCGACAGGCGCAGGCCCTCCATCCCCAGGCTGCCCATCGACACCTTTCTGGTTCGCAGTGCCGTCCCAGGCGCCGTCCTCGCCACAGGCGCCGCCCTCGTCCACGACGTCTGCACACACTGGGCCTGGCGACGCCAGTGGACGAGCCCGTCCACGAGGGCGATACTGGGCGGACGAGCCCAGGGCCAACAACAGCACACAGCTGGCCCATGCTGATCCTCCACGCACTCGGGACCCGCCCCCTTCGCCTCGGCGCCCTCGTGGGCGAGCGGCACCTCGGGGATGCCCTCCCCAACGAGGTCGAGGACGGCGTGGGCCATGCCATCGAAGCCCGGCTGGGCTCTGCCATCGGCCCTCGGTCAAGGGCCGGGTGCCGATGCCCGACTCCCGCCTGAACTCCTTCGACGGTGGCTCCACCACATGGTCGTCGCCTCGGAAGCTGTGGATCGCCTCGGGCTGGCGCTGGCTCTGCCAAGCCATCGCCGTGAGCGTCATGCACTTGTCGGCCCTCTCGGACGCCAGCCCGAGCGCCTCGTCGCTCTCCTGCCGGACGCTGCGCGTCTGCTCCAGGGCCGTGCAGCGGTCGCCCACGCGGCCACAGCCCGATGCGGCCTCTTGACCGCTCGTCAGAGCCGATGTGGTGCCGCTCCTCGCCCTCCACCTGGGGCAGGACCTCTGGCGCCTCGGAGCACGGCGAGCCCTCCGCCTCCGCGCGCAGGCGTGCCGACCCAGGCCCGCCATGCTCCTCGCCGACGCTCGCCTGCCTGGGTCGACGCGCAGGGATTGGGGCAGGCGGGGGCGACCTGGAGCGAGGGGAAGGACAGAACGGGGGCAAGCTCCGCCTCCCTCCTGCCCTCCTGCAGCTCGTCCTCTGCCAGCTGCTGGCGCCGCCCGCGGGCCTGGCGCCTGGCCTCACGCGCCGTGGCCAGCACCGCGCGTCAGCGCCAGCCGCCGAAGTCGGCAGTGCTGGGCGACGCGTCGCGGAAGGCTCTGGAGCCGCCTGGCGGGCGCGGCGGCAGGCCAGCGCGGCCAGCCGCCGCCGGAGCGAGCCGCTCCCGCGAGCGCACCTCGTCCGGGACCGCGGGGTCGGGCGGGTCCCGGCCGAGGGGCTCGGCGCCCGTGCGGAGGGCTGCCTGGTGGACCCGCGCGAGCCGCTCCCACGAAGGGACTCCGTCTGCGACCGAGGGGGCAAGAGCGGGTCCACACCGGGGAGCTCAGCGCCCGTGCAGAGGGCCGCCGCGACAGCGGCGGTGCTGCCGCCCGCCGCCGTCCCTCGGCCGAGCGAGCCGCCGCCGCCCACGCCAGCGGGGCGAGCATCGCCACCGGTTCTCCGCGCAGGGGCGGGACCGCAGCTGCTGCCCGGGCCGCGCAGCAGGGGCAGGAGGCTGCACCGCTCTCCTCCAAGGAGGAGTGCACCGGCGCATCGCCAGCCTGGCGCGCGAGGCTGGCTTGAGCCAGTGTGTGTGTGTGTGTGGGGTGTGTGTGTGTGGTGTGGTGTGGTGTGGTGTGGTGTGGTGTGGTGTGGTGTGGTGTGGTGTGGTGTGGTGTGGTGTGGTGTGGTGTGGTGTGGTGTGGTGTGGTGTGGTGTGTGTGTGTGTGTGTGTGTGTGTGTGTGTGTGTGTGTTGTGTGTGTTGTGTTGTGTGTGTTGTGTGTGTGTGTGTGTTGTGTTGTGTTGTGTTGTGTGTGGTGTGGTGTGGTGTGGTGTGGTGTGGTGTGGTGTGGTGTGGTGTGGTGTGGTGTGGTGTGGTGTGGTGTGGTGTGGTGTGGTGTGGTGTGGTGTGGTGTGGTGTGTGTGGTGTGGTGTGGTGTGGTGTGGTGTGGTGTGGTGTGGTGTGGTGTGGTGTGTGGTGTGGTGTGGTGTGGTGTGGTGTGGTGTGGTGTGGTGTGGTGTGGTGTGGTGTGGTGTGTGTGTGTGTGTTTGAGTGTGTTTGTGTGGCACCGCTTGTAGCGGGTGGTCGGACCAGGCTACTGCACATTAGACTCGGGACCAGGCTGACCCAGCCGACATTCCACCACCAATTGATGGCAGTCGTCGGCGCCAAATGACTCATACCGAGGAAGGCGAGCCAAGCCACGCGAGCCGAGCCCACTTGCTCACGCGAGCATGATGTGGCGAGGAGGCAGCTCTCGCCCCCAGCCCGCTCCGCATTGCACGGACAACGGGGGCCAGGGGCTTTCCAGCATCGCACGGATCATTGTGCATCCCGCCTCCCGACACCAGGATCGCACGGATAAGTAATTGGCTCTGGGGGCTTTCCCGCGTCGTTCGGATAGCGGGGAGAGGTAAAGAAGCAGTTTGACCGTGAGCCGCGATGGCCAAAGGCACCTCAAGCTCCGCCGGCAGAAGCGTGTCGTAGCCCACGCTTCCAGCTGCCTCCATCAGGTCGAGAAGCTCCGCCATCGACTCCGAGCCGTGCTGCGGAGCTGCGCGCAGCCGAAGGGCCCGGAGACGTTGAGCACCACCATCTCGAGCCTCGGACGCCGCCCCCTCCTCGGCTGGACGGGAGCCCTCGGGAGGCACCGCCGCTCCGCCCCGCGGCCGCGTCGCAGGTCCCGCTTCGTCCCCCGCGGGGGGCCCACGACTGGGAGCCACAGCAGCGCTGGGCAGCGCGAGCTGGCGCACCACGGGCGCCTCCCTGACTCCAGATCCGCCCTACTTTGGGGAAATTCGTAAGCGGGGCTTGGAATTTCCGCCTTGCTTTTCAAGCCCCGCTGATGCCAATTTCCGCCCTACTTTTCTGCTGCTGTTTCCGCCCTGTTTCTGTGGATTTCCAGCCCACTGTATGTTGGGTGCAGAAATTTCCGCCCTACTTTTTCGGCCTCTCATTGGTGGATTTCCGACGCAATTTTAAGCTGGAGAAAAAGCCAAAGTAGGGCGGATCTGGAGTCAGGGCTGGTCCGCCCACTCGTCATCAAGGTCGCTGACCATGCCCTCCTTCGCTTCCTCCTCGACTCGCGGCCGCGGCGCCGCCGGGGCGTGGGGGCGCCCCCGGGTGGCCCCCCCGCCGCGGGCGCAGCCGCCCGTGCGGAGGGCGTCTCCTCCCTGGCCGGGAGCCCAGCCGACCGCCGGCTCGCTCGAAGCTCAGCCCTCGGCGGTGCGCAACCACCGCATGCAGGGCTGCGGAGCCCCTCCCCGGGCCGGCAGCCGCAGGCACGGCCGGCGCGGCCCCGCTGGCCGCCGCGAGCGCAGCACGACGGTCTGGCGTCGCCGCCATCGGAGGCCCGCGGTGAACCCGGAGGCCCTACGGCGGCGGCAGGCTCGACGAAGGCACGGCGGTTGTGTGTGCTTGTGTGTGTGGTGTGTGTGTGTGTGTGTGTGTGTGTGTGTGACGGTGTGTGCGGGGGGGGGGGGGCGTCGCCCATTCCTGCCTGGCTCGCCAATTCCCCTCTGCTGCGGGCCCTCCCCTCCGGGGTTGATATACGCACTCGGTGCGGATCGCGCTGCTGTTTTACAGCTCATGCAAGGTCAGCCTCGTGCGTGGTGCGCACTTCTACTGACGCCTCTTCCCGGCCGGCCGTTGCGGAACGTTGTTGTACGCGATTGTGGTAGGTGTTTCCATTCGTTTCCACCTTCGCTGCCACACTTCCGCCATGCCTCTTAACCGCTTTCGCGTCGCACCTTGCAGCCGAGCTGCGGGATTCATTACCGTGCACGCCTCCTTTGTCTCTTGCATTGTTTTGCATTCGCTTCGGCCGCATTCGCTTTTGTGTTTTGTTTTATGCATGCGACTGCTCTCACCCAGTCCACCCATCTGCTACACGCCAAATGGTAATTTGCCTAAGCGTGTCCTGGCTCAGTGCTCGCGACGGTGTCTCCACCTCGCGCCTGGAGGAAAAAGTGTGTGTGTGTATGTGTGTGTTATCAGCTTGGCCTGGGCCGACTGGTTTTGATGGCGCCTTTGGAGATCGCATTGGCCAGCAGCCAAGTGCCTCAGTGGTTCGCGGGCGCAAGCAGTTCATGTGTGTGAGGGGTTGACTGCCACTTTGGTTTTCGGCTTCCTCGCGCTCCCACATGATATGGGCATGTCGTTGCCAGTGAGACCCGCAGCACTGCCAACCCAGTGTGCGTTGGTGTGCGTTGCCGCGTCGGAGAGAAAATCGTGTGTGCGTTTGTGTGTTGCCTTGTCCTTCCGTAGGTGTGCTGTGCACTGCCGTGGTCTCCTTGTCTCCCTGTGTGTCCCCGTCTCTCCGTCCCTTCCCTTCGCGTCAGCCCCCCCGCGAGGGACCCCTACGGGAGGATCCTGGGTCCCCATGCCCCGTGACCCGGGCTAGCCGCGCGCGTCTCTTTGCCCGATTCTCTATGCTGACATGCGCGTGGCCGCGGCGCCACAAAGTGTATGCGTGCACGTGGGCGTGTTAAGTTGTCTGCGGGCTTGCAGGTTCAGCTGGGGCTTGGTGGTGGTGATGGCCGCCATGCTCCCCGCCTTTCTTTTCGGCAAGTACGTGGGGAAGCAGCACAACGGATCGTCGCCGCATGATGCCGATGCGGACAACCTCAGCTGCGGCGGCAACCAGAGCTGCGGATCGATGGGTGCTCTGGCGCGGCTCTCGGAGGAAAGGCTCAGGGACATCGCCTCCAATCTGAGGGCGCTGCAGGGTCTGAGCCAGGTGGTGGTCAAGGCGGACGACACTTACGAGGAGGTGTACCACAGGCAGCTGATCCGGCAAGACCTGGACGACGTGGAGCCAGGGGCGCACGACTGGAACAGTTTCGTCGTTGAGGCCCGAGCGTCCGGCCCAGACTTCCTGGAGGGCAAGGAGTGCCTCAGGGACGCCGTTGCCAACATGCACAGGCTCATCAGGAGGGCGCCCGATTACCTGCGGAGTCTGCTGCACCACCTTCGGGAGGACGACGCCGAGGAGGCCAGCTGGTACCTGGCCAAGGTCGTGAAGCTGGTGGACACGATCAAGGAGAGCATGGAGCGGGCGGCCGCGAAGTTCGGCGAGGTCGACAGCAGCGTGGGCGGAATGGCGAGGGACGCGCTGGAAAACGAGCAGCACCTGCACCAGCGAGCCTCGAAGCTCATCGGAGAGGCCAGGGCCTTAGCGGAGGGTCGGCCGGCTCGGAGCGGGAGCTGGGGCCGGGAGGCCAACGTGGCTTTGTACGGTTGCCAGTTGGGTAAGACGATCGCGTCGCTGGAGGACTGCAAGCTGGGGTGCGTTGGCCACGACAGCGGGTCGTGCACCCAGATCAGCTACTACAAGACGGCGCCCAGGAACAACTGCTACTTCCACTGCGAGTCCGCGACGCGCGGCCCCTACGACGAGGCCGACGTCTTCTCGCTGGAGAAGGCGCCAGACCAGGTTGCCGTGGACATTCACAGAAGGGAGGAGGTCGGACTCAGAGCCGAGCAGCTGCGAGGGCGATGGCAACAGGTGCAGGGCCCTCTCGGGGAGGTGACCCGCCTCGTGCGACGCTTCCGGCTCGCCACCATGGACCTGCGGAAGAGCCTCGAGGATCCAGGAGCAGAAAGAGCACGGGGGTGCCCGGGTGCAGTTGTGCGTGCTACAGTTTATGATTAATTATAGCATATAGCGAAGAGGGCGAAAGGGAGGAGGCCCTGATTTTTCAGGGAGGGGTGTGGAGTCACAATTAAACGAGGCGATGTGCAGCCCCGCGAGATCAGAGAGAGGTGACACCCAGGGCAAAGGGACGGGCCCCACCAGCCATCTCCGTGGGGTTCACTGGTTCGGGGTCTGGCATCTCCTCCAGTTGCTCTCGGCATATCCCCCCATCGTACCTGGGCTGAGGGCGCGAGGCGCCGTGGGGGCCTGGTCGGGAGCACCACGGCACAGCCTATGCTGTGGGCCGCTCTCGAGGTCTGCTGGGGAGTTCACTCGGAGCCTCTCGGGGTCTCTGTTGGAGCTTCTTGGGTGCCTCGGGAGATCTTTCTGGGACTTTGGAGGGCCTGTTTGGGGCCAGCTGGGGGTGCCAGGCCCATCTTGGAGGGCAGTCGTCTCGGGCCCCCTGGGAAGCCGTGGGGGGCCCGTCGTGAGGCGATATTGGGGGTCTCTGAGGCAGTCTTGGACGCCCTGGAAACAGAAATGCAGAGAAGGTTAACATCATACAGACATCGGCGGCTCCCCGGGGGGGAAGACACATGGGGTGGGCCTTTCAGAAAGCTCAGAAGGCCTCAGGCCTTATATAAGTTTTCTGAGCACTCTCGGAAGACAGAGACAGCTTCTCAGAAGATCGAAGGGCTTCTGAGAAGCCCCGCCGCCTTTGAGAAGGCTTGGCTCCTTTCACTTCCCCCTCGGCCGTGCCGCCGGAAAAAGAAGTCGTGTTCACAGTTTGCACGATGTTGGCCTCTTGGATCGACCCAAGAGCCGTCCAAACATCCCAGGAAACCCTGGAGACGGCTCCAGGCTGGTGGGGCCCCTCGGGGCCATCGACCATCTAAGGGCATGTGGGAGGTTTCGATTCGCATGACTCCCCCCCTTGCATTTGAAGCAATTTCTGGACACCCGGAACGTTGACAAGAGCGCCCATGGGGGGAGAACGAAAACGCCCCATCCACCCGCACCTGGCCCCCTCCCCCCTTTGGGGCTGGGCCACAGAGCGTGGGCTCCAATGTGTGAGGATCTTTTGCGAGGATGACACGGAGAGCACTTCCCTGACCCATGATCTTCGGCCTTCACCGTCCGAGCCTCCCTCTCGCGGCAGGCGACGCCGTTGCGCTGCAACATGCCGCGCACAAGGTGCGGAAGATGGAGGTCGAGGGGAGTTTTGTTCTTTTTCGTCCGGGACGTCCCAGCCTCCGCGTGGGAAGTAGCAGCTACCATCCCGACTGGGGAACGAGAGCGAGCTGGAATCGGGGGCCCGACACCCGTGCCGACACGAGCGAGGGGAAGGGAGAGACACGGGAAAGAGAGGGAGAGAGAGAGAGAGAGAGAAAGAGAGGGAGGGGCTGGTGAAGGAAACGGAGACGCACACGCAGACTGCCACCCTCACACGCGATGCAGAGGCCGCGGGACACAGGGCTCTTCTTCCGTGAGAGGGCCAGCATGAGCACGTCCGCTGGGCGTCCCCACAGGTCCGTCAGAGGCCAGATCTCTTGGCGTGCACGTGGCCTCCCGGTCCTCGTTGGCATGCACCGTGGCCGCTGCGCCCCAGACGTGGCGCTCCAAGCAAGCTTCGCCCTCCAGGGATCGATGGGGGTTGACTTGAGCCGGGCCTGTCCCTCTGCAGGGGGGATGTTCAAAAATAGTCGGCGGAGGGCCAGCGTGACGTGGATAGGTCGGGCCCCCCCAGGAGACAGCGAGGTGCTCCGTGTCGGGGCTGCCCCCGTCGGCCCAGAAGCGGGCCCCTTGGAGGCCCGGAGGGGTCCTCGACCCCTCTCCTTACCTCTCCTTACCTCTCCTCCCTCTCCTCCCTCTTCTCCCTCTCCTCCCTCTCCTCCATCTTCGCCCTCTCCCTCCTCCTCCTCCTCCTCCTCCTCCTCCTCCTCCTCCTCCTCCTCCTCCTCTTCCTCCTCCTGGAGGCCCAGAGGAGGTTCAGGGGTGGACAGAACCCCCACCCTGACACGTCGACTAGCGAAGTGTCCGTCTTCGGTTCTCGAGAGGGCGCCGCGGCCGTCCTTTTCCAGGCTTGCGCCCGCCAGGTCTGGGCCCGAGGTCGTTTCCATTGGACCACGTTTTACTACAGTGGGTTCTGTCCATCCCCGAAAGATGTTTCCTCGTGAGCACGCGCCCCCCTCCGCCCCGCCTGACGGCCCCGCCGCGCGACCGAGCCCAGGCCCTTGCGCCATTCGACCCGCCCGCGCCCCGCGAAGAGCGGCTCATCCACTCGGTGGCTACAGTCAGCCCGCATAGGAAGGATGGGCAACCTTCCCAAGGGTACCCCTACATCCTTGACCCTTCGGCTCATCCTTAGCTACTCTCGCTGGCCAACCTCGTTCGAACAACGAGAACGTGGCCCCACAAGGCCCTTGCATCCTGACCGCGCATCCTTATTATACGGGTTGACTGTACAAGGTGAGTGTTTTTCCTTCCCAGGATAATGCTCGTTACCCAGGCAGACCCCCTCCCGGGTAACGCTAACGATCGTATTGGAGGGGGGGGGCCTGGACCCCACCCCTACATGCTGTGGTGCACACAGGCGATTGATGCACAGGAGGTGGTGCGGGCGCACCCTGGCGGATGCACGCCGCGGCCGCCGTTACCCCATCCCTCCCGCCCGACCCCCCCCCCTCCCCCGGGTAACGACCCTTACCCGGGAAGGAAACAAACGGTCACAAGGGGTGTGGTTACGCCAGGGTGTGGTTTGCGATCTGAGTCCTTGGGGCTTCGGGGGCACCGCGTTGCCCTCGTCGGGCCTCCTCGGGGCGCGGCGGAGACCTCTGTCGAGGTCTTCGCCCGCCCCCCGAGGCGCGGGTGTTGCACACCGCACCCTCTGCAGACCACGCCCCTCGGAGTCGCCGACCCATGCTCCTGTCCCCTTGGCATCGCTCGGACGTGTGCACTTTTCCTTCGGCGAGGACCATCGAGGAGCATCCTTGATCATTTGGCGAAACAACCACGCACGAAGCCGAAAAAAACACAAGGAATGGACGTCCGAGCGATGGCGAGTCCCCACCCACCCCCTGCCCACGCTCCCGGGCGTCACGCGAGGCACGCTTCACGGCGCGCCGGGCTCGCCCCCGCCCGCCGGGCAGCCTGCACCCCCGGGGGGGTCGGCCCAGAGGGCGTACGCCCGGGATGCTGCGCGAGACCTCCGGGTGCGCTGCCCGGGACACGACGCGGCGGGAGCAGAGCCGGCAGGAGGGGGCGGCAGCGGAGAGCACCCGTGGCCAGAGCTTGGAGGAGGGGACCCGCCGTGGCTCGGGGAGCCCCCCCGGAGAGGCCTCGAGAGAGGTTGCGAGCCGTCCAGAAACACACCACGACGCCACGACCGTGTGGGTTCGGGCCGCAGTCGCCCGCGGGGCCGGCCCCGCGCAGCCCACCGCGCATCCACCGCACAACCACCGCGCGACCCACTGCGCAACCCACCGCACAGCGCACAGCACGACCACCCTCCGCACAACCACCGCGCGACCCACGGTGCAGTCCGCCGCGGCGCCACAACGACCTGAGCCTGCCGCATCTGCAGCCTTGGTCCTGCCGCCCGCGCCACCGGCCCAGGACGTCCGCTTCGCCTCCAGCGATCTGCAGGCCGCGGTCGCCGGCCCCTCGGGGGATCGCCACCTGCGCCTGCTGGAGCGGCGGGTCGGCGACCTCGTGGACTCCATCGAGGACGGCGAGGGGAGGGCTGGACGTCATATGGCCTCTGGCCAGGCTTCGGGTTGTGCACAGACAGCCCCCCCCCGGGTAGTCCTGGCTGGCCTCAACAGGCCCCACGAGTAGCCCAGGGCGGTCTCAACACCCTGGCGCCGCCTCCTGCGGCGCCCCTGTTGAGGTGTTGAGACCGCCCCAGACTATTCGGAGGAGGAGGAGGAGGGGGAGGAGGAAAAGGAGAAGGAGGAGGAGGAGGAGGAGGAGGAGGAGGAGGAGGAAGGAGGAGGAGGAAGGAGGAGGAGGAGGAGGAGGAGGAGGAGGGACCTGTCGAGGCCAGCTGGGACCACCTCGGAGGTTTGCCCGCGGCCAGCGCCCCTCTCGCATCTCTGGGAGGCCCCGAAGACCGACGACGACGACGACGACGACGACGACGACGACGACGACGACGACGACGACGACGACGACGACGACGACGACGACGACGACTACCAGGACGGGCGCCCCAGCGCAGGCTCGCAGCGTTCGATGGCTCGCCCGGGCGGCCGCAGCGCCCGACGCTGCCCTTCCCTCGCTTCAGCCTTTTGGGCCTCCTGGGAGGCCTTCGTCGCCACCGCTGGATCCGCTTCGAGATCCTGGTCGGCACGCACCCCTGGAGAGGTCCTGGGAGCAGCCGTCTATCGGCACCCCTTAGGCTTCCGCAGCTGCCAGGAGTCGCCTTGCCCGGAGGTGTCCCCGGGCTCTCCCAGGAGCCCCCGCCCTTCTCCAACAAGAACATGATGGCGAAGGCCTGACGGCCGGTGCCGCCGACCCTGAAGAGGACCACGACGTCGGCGACGAAGCGGGCTGAGACGGAGGCCGTGGAAGATGATGAGGAGGAGGCGAGGCGGAGGCGGAGGCGGAGGAGGAGGAGGAGGAGGAGGAGGAGGAGGAGGAGGAGAAGGAGCCTCTTCCAACAAGAACATGATTTCCCAGGAGGCCCCCGCGGTCTCCGGAGCACCCCTCACGATGCCCAGGGGGCTCCACGGCCTTCGGGATGAGGCGACATGTTGGGGGCCCGTCGGGCCAGGGACGGCGGGAGCCTTCCGCACCCCCCGAGGTGAATCTCCAGAGGCGAAGGAGGAGGAGGAGGAGGAGGAGGAGGAGGAGGAGGAGGAGGGAGGAGAAGGAGGAGGAGGGGGGGAGGGAGGAGGGGAGGAGGAGGGAGGGAGGAGGAGGAGGAGGAGGAGGGGAGGAGGAGGAGGAGGAGGAGGAGGAGAGGAGGAGGAGGAGGAGGAGGAGGAGCAGGAGGATGAGGAGGAGGAGAAAGAGGAGCAGGAGGAGGAGGAGGAGGAGGAGGAGAAGGAGGAGGAGCAGGAGGAGGGGGGTGAGGGGGGGTGCGGGGGTTGAGAGGTCGCCCGGACGTCCGACGCTCTTCCAATGCTGCGGCTGTTGCGGGCCCAGTTTGGGCCTCGGGGCCATCGGAGGGCATCACGTGGCGAGCAGCAGGGGTTTCGGGATGAGGCCGAGAGACCCAGGGCAAGGCCATGAAGAGGGTCACGGCTTCGGACCGCGACGCCCAGCGCAGCTGAATCTCCTGGACTTGTTCCCCCGAGTTGCTCTATTCGTGCAGCCATCGCCCTGCCATAGGGGACGCTGACTGGGGAGCACTTTGGGCTTTCTGGCCACGGCGAGCCTCGGCCACGGATCGGCTCTTCGACCCAGAACGAAGGAGCGGCCCGAAAACCGAAGCTCCTCCTGAGCTTCAAGTGCCTCCTATCTTGAAGCTTCTTGGCGGTTCCCGATGTTGGTCGCCTCCTGCCCTACAGTCGAGACGCTGAAGCACGGACAAGTTCGAGTTCAGAAGGGGCCCTGGGTTTCGGGCCGCTCCTCAGATCTAGATCGAGGAGCCTATTCGAAGCCGAGGCTCGCCGTGGCCAGAGCAAAAGCAAAATACTTTCTTTCCTTATTCACTATAGGGTAGCATGATGACCATAGTACAGAGAGGAGTGTGCTGGCGGCGGGCGGCTTCGAGAAACCCCATCGAGGACTTTGGCGACTCCCTGGCGCCCCTGCGACTCTAGCGCGGCGTGGGTGGTGGGGTGCCCGGCAGGGCGGCCCCCCGGCCGAGGAACGGCCGTGCTGGCACACCGCCGCTCGGCGAGCTCTGCCGTCGGCGACGCCGCCGCCGTCCTCGCCGTCCTGGCCGAGCTGGAAGGTGGTGCCCGACAGCGCCGCTGCAGCTGCGGGTGGAGACTCCGAGGAGAGAGAGGTACTGGTACCGCTAGCCTCCCGTTGTTCCCGGATTCGTTCGTTGGAGAGCTATACAATAGGGTTGGAGGTTGGAAGCCGGGAGGCGAGGGTAGCCCCGGAGCTCGTTCCGACGTCGCTGCAGGATCCTCGCAGAAAGTTTTGTCCGGCCTCGCAGCGTGCTCCGGCAAGCCTTTCTTCATTGTTTCCCAATGCGTGTGCCGTCAAGGTTTCCAGCAGATCATTCCCAGAGCTGCCAGAGCTCCTTCGAAGGAGTGTCGCAAAGACTTTCTGGCGCTCCCGCTATCTGGGTTTTGGACGCCTCAAGTTTCTGCCTCTCCGAGCTTCCAGGAGGCCCTCGTCGCCACGGCCAGATTCGCTTCAAGATGCTGGATTCGCTTCAAGAGGTCCGAGGAGCAGCGGAGTGACCGCCTTGGTCACCACCTACCAAACCATCCCAACCCAACCCGAAGGCCTCAATTTGCCCTCCATTTCCAGTGGGGGGGTCGGGGAACATCGACAAAACACGCATGGAACCCATACCCCCCCCCACCCCGAAATTCGGGTCTTCGGGTTGGGTGGGGGTGGTCTGGTAGGCAGGCCTTTGGGAGGGACGCCGGCTCTTTTTTTGTCTAGCCGCGCTCGCCTTGGAGGTGGGAGCCCCTCTCTGGGCACCCGGGCACGACCACGCCACACGGCGGCGGGGCCGTCGCCCGGCCGGAGCGTGCGCAGCCTCGGGGGGTACAGCCGGGGGCATGGCGCGCTGCGGCCGCCGAGGCACCGCGCTGCCGCCCAGGCTCGCGCGCGCGCGTCGCTCGCTTCCGCGTGCCGCCCGCAGTCTGCGAAGGGGGGGCGACCTTCGAACGGCTACGTTCGGTGCCGCGCGGGTCGTGATCGTGGCTTCCAGTGCGAGAGGCGCAGGGGCAACGTTGCGGGGGGAGAGGCTTAGGGGGGGGCGCGGGGACCCCAGATTCGTTCGCTCCTCGCCGAGAGGGGCCCGATAGGCCAACCCGCCCAGGGCCGTGCCGATTCGCTATCGCGGGCCTGTCGCCGATTTGTCGGCGACGCATCGCCGAATCCAGCTCGATGTTCGCCCCCTCGAGCCAATGCCAATCCCCACCGATCGTTACCTCTGAAGTCCGTGCAACGGGCAGCAGTCCTTGCCGGCACGCACAAAGGGGGGAAGGGGTATAGGGGGGAGGGCTTCCTGGAAGGAGGCTGCTTGGGCCTCGTCTGCAGATGTGGGGACTGTGGCGCCTTCTAAGAAGCAGCCTCCTTCTAAGAGGCCTTCCCCCCTCCCAGTACGCCCTTGTGCGCTCCGCCAAGGTCCACGCGTCGCGTGCACTTGAAGAGCCCAGCGTCTCCCAGCTTGCGATGAAAGCACCACGCGAGCCACGCGCGGCTGTCCGCTGCAGCGGCCGCCTGCGCGGCCGCCTGCGCGGCCGCGGGGGGGGGCAGTGGCCGAGGCATCCGCGGTACGCGGCTGGTCTTGGCCGTGCGTCCTCTGCTCTGGGCGCCGTCTACGAGCGTGCTCGCAAGTGTGCAGAAGGTGATCTCCCTCCAATCTTTCGCGGTTCCCTTCGTTCTCTCCTCTCTCTCTCTCTCTCTCTCTCCCCCTCTGCCACCTTCCTTCCCTCCCGTTCTCCCGCGATCCCCGTCTTCCTTTCTCACTCTATCCCTCTTCCCCCTGTGAGCGACGCAACAGAACGGGGCCGTCCTTTTCTCCAATGTCGCGTGACACGCTGGCGGCCCGCGTAAGCCACCGCGTAAGGTCGCCATGTCGGCTCGCGTACAGCCCGTTTCTTTTCGTCGCTCTTGTCTCTCCCTCTCTCTTTCTTCCTTCCTCTTTCTCCCACTATCTCGCTCTCTCTCTCTCTCGCTCTCGCTGTCTATCTCCCTGTCTCCCTGTCTCTTTTTTGTGTTCTCTCTCTCTCTCTCTTTCTCCCTCTCTCTCTCTCTGTCCCACTTTTTCTGTCTCTCTCTCTATATATGTATATAGTTATCTCCCTTTCTCTTTTTATACCCGAGAGGAAGGCAGTCGTGGCGGCGAGGGCAGTTGACGTCTCTCTCGTTTTCTCTCTCTTTCTCTCTCTTTCTCTCTCCCTCTCTTTCTGTCCCCCTCTCTCTCCATGTCTCTCTCTCTCTCTCTCGCTCCGCCTCAGTCTTCCTGCCCCGATGCGGCGGCATGCTGCCTGGGGACAGCGCCTGCCAGGCCGAAGTTCAGCAGCTCACCCATCGTCCAGGTAGCAGTGCTCCACGCTTCTGATCGGCGAAGCGACAGCACCCTCTTCTGGCGGCGTGCGCCGTGGGTTGCGGCATGGTTGAACTTGGAAAGGTTACCGGAGCCAGGGAGCTCCGGGCACGCCGATCCGTGTGATGTTGAGCGTCGCGTAATGGTGGGGGGGGCGGTAAAAGGGTAAAAGGGGGGCGGCAGCGAGGGATGCAGGAAAGGAGCCCGTCAGGGCCCCTCTTATAGGGGGGAGCCCTTTAGGGCCAGTCAAGGGGCCCTGTAGGGGCCCTAAAGGGCACCTTTCTCCCCCCCTCCCCGCCATTTTACAGTCCACCCGCATAGTAATGAAGGGTGGGCAGCCTTCCCAAGGGTACCCTTGCATCCTTGCCTCCTCGGTCCATCCTGGGCCACTCTCGTGGGCCACGCCCCGCTCGAAGAGCTTCGGCATTGGCCTCCCAGGCCCTTGCATCCTTGTCGCGCATCCTCCCCGCACGGGTTGACTGCAACTCGCCCCCCCGTGCAGCGACGCCCAGTCATGGCTCGGAGGTTGATCAACTTCCTACCCTGACACGTCGATGAGCGAATTGGCCGCTTTCGGTTCGCGAGAGGGCGTCGCGGCCGTCCTTTTTGCGGGCCCAGGTCCGTCGGCTTCGGTCCCAGGCTGTTTTCACGAAAGGGAGGTTACTAAAGGGAGGTTTACGAAAGGGAGGTTTACTAAAGGGAGGTTCACTGAAGGGAGGTTCACCGAAGGGAGGTTTGCTAGAAAGGGAGGTCTGTCCTCCGCCGAGTGGCGGCCAGAGGCGGGGCCTGGGCCCGTGCAAGGTCGTTCCAGGGGGGGAGGCCGCGCGTCTCGCGTGCCGGCCTCCTGCCCTTCGGGCGGAGAGAGCCCGCGGCAGGCCGGCGGGGAGGCGCTCTGCAAGTGGAGGCCCTCGGCAGCGTGCGGGCGTGTGCACCTCTTTCCTCTCGGCGAGGGCCAGCGAGGAGCATCCGGGGTCAGCCGGGCCTCGGAGAAAAATATAGCGAACGCTCATGCCAGATTCATCTGTGAACGCCTCCCCCTCCCCCCAATGTTCAAAGTTGGCGGTGGGTCTGATGAATTGCACCTCGACCGCAGTCTCCCCCGCGCGTGCCAACTTTGAGTTTGGGGGGCAGGGGCGGTGTTCACTAAATGTTTCCCTCTACCGTCTGACGGGAAAAAAAATCCTGCACGAAACCGGAACATACACGGGACAATGGACGTGCGAGCGATGGCGAGAGCCTGGCAGGAGCCTGGCGGAAGCGAGCGCGTGTACACCCACAAGTCTCGCCACAATTGGGCGATGTGCGTCGCGCTGCAGGGCACTCGCCCCCGCTCTCCAGCGTTGAAAGCCGGCGCATGGCCGTGCGCGGGCGAGGGGGGGGGCCGGGGGGGTTCGGGGGAGGCATTCGGCCAAGAGCCAAGTGCCCATGATGTTTTGGAGGGGCCGCACGCCACGAATTCCCAACGTGCCTCTCAAGTTCGAAGGGGGTCGCCGAAACGTTGCTCATCCTCGGAAGCTCCCCGGCGGCGTCGCGTTACTTGCGGCGAGACAAGTTTGAGCTGGCCGTGCGTGTCGCTGCGCGCTCTGTCCGTCTCGTCGTCGTCGCCTGGGCGACACCTCCACGAGCGCCCAGCGCTAGCCGGTGCCCACTGTCCCCAGGCGTCTGATGCAGATTGTGTGCGTGACGTGGGCTTTCGAAGGTCTCGACCCCATCCGGGAGGCTGCCTTTTTCATCGTGGGCCATCTTTTGATGGCCATGATCTCAACAACGGGCCTCACGAGGTCGAAGACGTAGGAGAGCCAGCCGTCACGATCTTTGCAAGTGGCGCCGGAGGTTACCTGTCTGGTAGGTCTTCCGGGTTCTCCTGAGGTCCTGGGGATGCCAACAAGAGAGAAACATTCAAAGTTTGTCCTCGTCCTCCTCAATCCTCCTCCTCCTCCTCCTCCTCCTCCTCCTCCTCCTCAATCCTCCTCCTCCTCTTCAATGTTCCTTCTCCTGAATATTCCTCCTCCTCCTCCTCCTCAATCCTCCTCCTCCTCTTCCTCGTCCTCCTCCTCCTCCTCCTCCTCCTCCTCCTCCTCCTCCTCCTCCTCAATCATCTCCGATTCCGCTCTGGGCGGGCTCGACGCCGCCCACGTCGTCGTCGCCTGCCTCACAGGCAGGGCGGCGCGCAGAAGGACGCGGGGCGGGGGGGGGAGGGCGTCTGAAAAGGCGGGGCTGAGATGGCGGGGCACTCGGAAGCCCCCTCCTCGCCCCTCTGAGAAGCCTTTCCAGGACAGCTTCGAGCCGTTCCGAGGACCCCCTCCGCCCCCTCAGAGCGCGCCCCCCCCCACCTCCTTCACGCGCCCCGCGCCCCCTATTCCCCCAACCTCGAGACCCCCCTCCACGCGCCCCGCCCCCCCTATTCCCCCTCCCTCGAGAACGCCCCCCCCCTCCTTCACGCGCCCCGCCCCCCCTACGCCAACCCTACCTCGACCGCCCTCTCAGAACGCCCCCCATTTCCCTCCCTTCACGCGCCCGGCCCCCCCTCCCATCGAGCTCCGCTCAGGAGCTAGACCCCCTCCAGGGGGGCCCGTCCTGGCAAGCCATGCGACCCCCCTCCGGCCGTGGCGACGGGGGGGACCCCCGGAAGCACCATCAGCATCCGAGCATCAGAAGGCTACGCCGACAGTGACGACCACCACTGGCCACCACCACCACCACGAGGACGACCACGACCACGACGACGACGACGACGATGACGACGACGACGACGACGACGGCGACGACGACGACGACGACGACGACGGCGGCGACGACGACGGCGGCGGCGGCGGCGGCGGCGGCGGCGGCGGCGACGACGACGAAGACGACGACGACGGTGGCGACGACGGCGACGACGGTGGCGACGACGGCGACGACGACGACGGCGACGACGGCGACGGCGACGCCATGTGACAGCTCCGTCCCCCGAGGCCTCGCGGGGAAAGACCGGCAGCGACACCAGCTTGTTCAGCTCCGTCGCCGCCTCCACTGCGCGAGGCGCCCTCTCCGGGGGTGGTGCCTCTCGGCCGCCCCTCGCCGCGCAGGGCGGACGGGCTGCCTGCGACCAGGAGCCGGAGGGGGAAGGAGCGGAACAGCAAGAAGCATGGAGGGAGCGGGTCCCGAGGGGGACGGATGTTGGGCCCCATCCTCCTCCTCCTCCTCCTCCTCCTCCTCCTCTTCCTCCTCCTCCTCCTCCTCCTCCTCCTTCTATTTCTTCTCATCCTCCTCCTCCAGGGCCTCCCCCCATGGGGGGACGAGCTCGTCCTGCAGGACGCGCATGCTGCATCCCGAGCTTCGTCTGCTGTCGGCCTTGCAAGGCCTGCGGGGGGCCCCAAGGGAGGCGCAAAAAGGGTGCAGAACATCTCGGGATCCGCCTCCCTCCTCCTCCTCCTCCTCCCTCCCTCCCTCCCTCCCTCCCTCCCTCCCTCCCTCCCTCCCATAAACATGATTTCTCGGAGGTCCGCGCGGATTTCTTGGATTGGCGCTTGGCCCCCCCTGGCGGCGCTTCTGGCGCCGCCCCTGGCGCGATCCGCGCGCCAGGGGCGGCGGGTCAAGACATCCCCCTTCGGCTGTGCAGTTGCCTTGGGCGTCGCTCTCAGCCTCGACCTCTAGACGCGTATGCGCCGTGTGCTCCACCGCTTCCTGCTCCTCGTAGTGTCCCGCCCTTATCTCACACATAGGCTACGACTCTTCTGCCTGGACCAGAGAGGGAGCGAGGGAGATAAAAAGGATGAGGGGGAGGGGGAGGGAGAAGTAGAGAGCGTGATGGGGAGGAGATGGAGGGTGTGGGGGAGGAGAGTGGAGCAGGAGGACGAGAAGCAGGAGGACGGATGAGGGCCACGGAGAGAGGAGGGGAAGGAAGAGGAAGAGGAGGAGGAGGGATCATTCAGGATGGACCAGAGGACCGTGGCCAGAGATCCACGAGTACAATGGGGCGTTGAATGAAACGGGAGAGATTTAGGATGCAACTCTTGGGAGGTTCAACTCAGCATCGGTGCTGGTATATCCGTGGCCGGCCCACTCCAGTATAATCCCGTTTCTTTCCGCTCACTCCCGCACAATCCGCTCTCGTCTGGGACACATCTAATTATAATCCGGCCCAATGGATCCTGCACAGCCCTCCATCGTTTTTTGCGATTCCCTCCTCCTCCAGCTCCCCCCCCTCCCAAAGAAGGGAGCGGAGCTGGAGGGGGAGGAGGCGCAGGGCTCGTTTCGATTCCTCCGATTCGATCCGATTCGATTTCGCTTGATTCCGATTCCGATTCGATTCGGCTTTGGATTCCGATTGGAGTTCCGATTTCCTATTGGACGCACACTGGCCTGCCGATGTCCGCCGATTCGGCTTTTCCCGACTCGGCTGCCGATTTCCGCCGATCCGGTTCATGCCGACTTCCGATCCGACTTGTCGATCCGATTCTGAGGTCCCCTGGAGGAGGCCTGGAGGAACGATGGGGGCGGCGAGAGGCAGAGGCGGCAGGGCCACGGCGGCGGCAGGAGGCGGGCGGGGCGAGCCGCACGACGGCGGCGCCGCCGCCCGCCCGCTCCGCGCGGTGCCGCTCCTCCTCCTCCTCCTCCTCCTCCTCCTCCTCCTCCTCCTCCTCCTCCTCCTCCTCCTCCTCCTCCTCTCCTCCTCCTCTCCTCCTCTTCCTCCTCTCCTCCTCTCCTCCTCCTCCTCCTCCTCCTCCTCCTCCTCCTCCCCTCCTCCTCCCCTCCGCCTCCGCCTCCGCCTCCGCCTCCGCCTCCGCCTCCTCCTCCTCCTCCTCCTCCTCCTTCTCCTCCTCCTCCTCCTCGTATTGAAAGACGTCTTGGCACGGTGTGATTTGTTTAGTTCCAGGCGTTTTTTCTCTGCTCCCATTTTGAATGCTTCGTCTGTTTCTGTAGATGTTCAGGCTTCGGCCCAGAATCCCTTGCTCCAATACCGCCACCGCCCATTTCCTCTGACTCCTTCGAACGCAGTGCCGTGGGGCCTCCTGGGGGACGTCCTGGGCCCCTCCTTGGGACCTCGGAGGCGCCCTCGGGAGCGGGCCGAGAGGCGGAGGGGCAGCGGCGGCGGCGGC